CAATAAAATCATGATAAAAACCATGGTAAAATGCAAGCAGCAACAAAATCACGGTAAAAAAACCATTGTATGTTACAACGATAACCAATAAACACCGAGTTACGATGCACTTGATGATAATCACTATAGAAACCGCACTAAATGTAATACAAAGAAAAAAAGTTATGCTTAGCATAATGAATGCAACAAACAGTGCTTGTCAGCAATGATACTAATTACAAAAAACCACACAATAAAAAAACCATAATAAAAAATCATTAAAAAAGTTATACAATATAACACAGTAGGAAAAACCATGCAAAATAACACCGTGCAAAATATTTTTTTTAGCATAAAAAATTATAAACTGAGAAGACTTTTGTGCTTATCTACTTACTACTACATTACAATGATAATATTTATCGAAATGCCTGCCATAAGGAAGTCAAAAGTCAAAACTCCCTCGCGCAATCGATCTCTGTGGCAAGCAGAGGTTTTTGGAAGTATTCCGATGGTAGCAAGTGTCGAAAGCAATCATCCGCTGGTGGTGAGGCTGCTGAAAACTGCTTTTTTCGAGGGTTGCTCGAAATTTTGCCGAGCTGATGACGGTTTTGACCCTTTGGCATAGGTAAGCACCAAATTATCGTGTGCAATTTTCTGCTACCGACCGCTCCACATTTTGTTTTCTTTGGATCAATCACTTATTTTAAGACTACGATTTGGTCTAGTAAGGCAGCGATTTATAAATGAGAAAATTTTGCCCAATATATCGCTGTAAATGTTACTTCTAAACGAATTCTGTTGTGAAAATTTCAATGTCCCTGTCAAAGAAATACCAATCTATGTGTACAGTACTAAAAGTACCAATATCAATAATGCCGAAAAAATCATGGGTGACATTCATGCCGTAGCTTACTTGCAAAGTTTCAGCTTCACAGCCTGTCTGGTAAGCGGAATAGCCACTTCGCTACTTCACTAATTCGTTCTCCATCGATTGCTTTCACCAGAAATACACCGTTTATATACAACTTATTATATTTACACATCGCGTTGAATGACGATCCGAAATGTTGTTGAGATCGATGGCACAACCTGATCCTCATTGGCACTCAATAGCTGTAATGGAAATAATTATTGTAGATAATTATAATTACATCGCTATAATAATATCACTATAATAGTGTCACTGTAATGACATTATCATAATACCACTATAATAATATCACTATAATAATATTACTATAATAACACCTCTATAATAACGTCAAATAATATCACTATAATCTCTACAACAATAACATCATAATAACATTATTATAATAATATCACTGTAATAATATTACTACAACGGTATTACTATAATGGACCTCTACAATAATAATACCATAATGATATCACTATAACAATGTCTT